TCAGTGCTGTTTCATTTAGACTGATTTAACTGTTTTCTGCTTCCATTCATAGCAAAGCTTCATAGTCTTCTGGATATGTAGAATCTACTGGAAACTCTCACCTTCTAAACAATTCCCAACTCCACTGAGTTAAGCAAACACTTTAATCCCCTTCCACAAAAATAGGAATAAGGCTGAAATTCTACAGTTGCGTAAGTGAAAGAAATAGAAGAAAAAGAAAAATGTGTCCGTGTCCTGGGCAGCAGCATCACCTGTAAAGTTATGGCATTCTTTTTGGTGGGTCGATTGAACACAATCTTCGTGATGCCATCTTCAGAGATCACCACAATGTCCTTAGACCCCTGGACTTTCTCATCAGCTCCATACTTTTCCTGGCTAGAAGCTTCAGATGAGGGACTCAGACTGGACACCAGATTCACATGGCTCTGCCTGGCAGTTTCCTGTGGATGACAAGACCTTCGGCTTTTAAAATAAGTAATTTGAGAAACATACTATGCTAATAAACACCACTTAGCAATAAAGAACAGAGCCTTTGATTCAATAGAGGTACATCACGATTTCAAAGATCGTGGGACAGGTGACCCATATGTATAATTCCAGCCACTGGGAGGCTGAGGCATGATTGTGGTGAGTACAGTGCCAATCTTGGCAACAATAATGAGAAAAAAAACTTCAAAAAACTGGATAGCCATTCACCAAGAAACTAAGCCTATTGTCTTTTCAGTAAGAATAAGTTAAGTTTACCTTCCATCTATCCTGCTTGGCATTATTGTCAACATCAAACTGAACTGGTTTAGGCATATTACAGGGTCTTTCTGTGGCCTGTAAAGAGCACAGGGATGATTAATATGCAATATGCGAGAGAAAGCTTTTGAGAGAGTAGCTCTAAAATCCCGAGTTCAATGATTTTGCATTTGTTATCACACTTTTCACAGGAAGTGAAAACATTGAGCCAATTTTCCAAAGTCACAGAACATTTGGAAGTCCACACCGTATTCTAAAGTCCCATCTCTGGGGACAGAACCAGAATGTTAGTGATAAACTTCTGGGAACTAACTACTCAAAGGGTTGTGCAGCTGGTGTAGGCAGGGATGAGGTCTTCAGTTCCTGGTCTCCAGGAAGTTCATCTGAGGGTCATGCCAGTAAATAGAAAACTAATTTTGTTTGAGGGTAGGGGGAATGGGTATCCTGAGATGAATAAAATACCCTACACAGCTCCTTCTCTGAAGTGATTTTTAAGCAATTTAAAAATTTTAAATTTTGTAATAGAGTGACTTAGGAAAGGACAGAGGGCTTGAAAGTCACAGGCAGTGGAGGCTCTGACTCCTACACACCAAGTCACTCAATGGAGTCAGCCATCTGGGGAGTTACAGGGAACCCAGTCCACAGTGTTGTCCTTCTCTTCCAACTGCTCCCACTTCTGACGTTGATTGCAAGGCTGGGCTAGGGTGTTCTGGAGCCTCACTTCAATAACCCATTAGAAAGATTCATGGCACCCCTGCAAGCTGAGCTATTCATGCTTATAATTCCTCACAGGGAAAGAATACAAAACAAATAAGCCAAGGGCAAAAGCTCAAAGGATAGTTCAGAGCAGAAGCCAATGTGACACTCCTGTTCTGTCCAGAAGAGTTAGGAAAGAGATTGCCCCAGACTGATGGGTACATGATCGTATGCACAGAGGCTTGCCAGCAAAGAAGCTCTCTACCAGTTCAGTGTCCAGTTTTTGCCAGGACTCTTTTTTTTTTTTAAAAGTTTTTTTTTCCATTTTACATACCAACCACAGTTCCCCCTTCCTCCCCTTCTCCAGCTTCCCTCTTCTCCCCCACCCCTAACCCCCATCCACTCCTCAGAGAGGGTAAGGCCTCCCATGGAGAGTCAGGAAAGTCTTTGCCAGGACTCTTTACAGGCAAACCTGCCTAACCTTAGGCCACCTGTGATGATATATTGTGTTCCCCCCAAATATTGTGCACCCTAATAAAGTTTATCTGAGGATCAGAGGAAAAACCCAGCCACTATAGTAAACATAGAGGTCCAGCAATGGTAGCACACGCCTTTAATCCTATCACTTGGGAGGCAGAGATCCATCTGGATCTCTGTGAGTTCAAGGCCACACTGGGAACAGAGCCAGTTGTGGTGGCACATGCCTTGAATTCCAACACTAGTTAATCACAAAGGTCTGGAGGTCTGTACAGACAGACAGGAAGTGATGTAGCTGGGCAGAGAGAGGAAATGAGATGGCAGAACAGAAAGGCACATAGGCATGGGTATAAAGGAAGTAGCTCTTTTTGGAGAACGAGGTGTCGGTGAGGTAAGGTTGTCTGTGGTTTGTCCTATTTCTCTGATCTCTCAGTTTTTCACCCCAATACCTGGCTCTGGGTTTTTCTTAATAAGACCATTTAAGATTCGTACTACAGCTACCCTGTACCCGAAAGCCACTGCCAGACACTCCAGGCAAACAAAGGTACAGGACAAACATGACAGGTCACGGGGTTAGGAATACCTCTCAGCAGCTGAGGGCAAAGGCTTTTTGGACAACTAAAATTCTTCACTGTACATACTCATGATAAATCATCTAGAAGATAATGAAACAATAACAGTAGTTCAGAGCAGTAGTTACACCAAGGATGTCTTTACCACTACAATTTAAAAGCTTTCTCAGTATCATTATAACAGTTTCCAAACATTCACAAAAGGATGAGTTACAATAGGCAATTAATCTAACTGAACACTTATTAAAATTTATATCATGTACTTTACCTATTTTCTTTCTTTTGTGATTATTACAAGAAATCTAAAACATCCCACATACCACTCTAATTCTGCCTTGAATATTTACTATGCATTTCTCAAAGCATATTTTATTATGTAACCAATGGCACCATTAACAATAACCAGGACCTCACTAGATAATAGTTGCTAAAACTCAGTCCAGATTCAAATTTTCCCAGTTTCCCAAAATATCTTTTCTGTGGATTTATTCAAATTGGAGGGAATCAAACAAGGACCAAACATCTGACTGTTATATCTTTTACATCTCTTTATTAGGAGAGATGCGCAGGGCTACTCTGTGCCTGAATGGTATTTCAAGGCCTAATCTTAATCCCAGCACTTGGGAGGCAGAGGCAGGTGGATCTTTGTGAGTTCGAGGCCAGCCTGGTCTACAGAGCGAGATCCAGGAAAGCTACACAGAGAAACCCTGTCTCGAAAAACCAAAACCAAAACCAAACAAAACAAAAAACAAAAACAAAGCCTGCATACACGCACCCAAAGCCTGCAGACACGCACACAAAGCCTGCATATAATGCACTCAAAAGTGGTCACCATGCAATCCAAACATTCAAGCTGCATGTTAAAAGGAGCTCAAAAATCTTAAAGCTATTTTTATTTTTATGTATATGAGTGTTTTGTTGGTATGTGTGTGCACCAGGGGCCTGCCTTGTGCCCACAGAGGTCTGGAACTGGAGTTAGAGATGGTTGTGGAAGAAGATGTGGGTGCTGAGAGCCGCCTGGATCCTCTGAGAGAAGCAGCAAGTGCTCTGAACAGCTGAGCTGTCTCTCTAGCCCACTCAAAATGTCTGTAAGCAACATCAGATCTCAGGGGGACACTGCTTAGACAGTGTATACACAGAGTTCTAGTTTCACTTAGTCTCCTTAGTCAAGAGTTTCACTTGGTTCATGGCATTTCAAAGTCTAGCTCTGACTAGCTGACTGGCTCTCATCGTTGGTCTGCCAAAGTGCACCTGAGCCACTGGGAACCTAGAGACCTGCAGGAGACGGCAAACAGTGGTTTCTTTTTGTTCCTCGCCCTTCATTGAAGCAGGATTGCTGATTTGTCCCAAACCCTACAGAGCAAAATGCCATGTTTATCTCTATTTCTTTCTGCTGTCCCAACAAGCTAGCTTCAAATGTTTCCTGAATAAAATCTGTCTACAGATTTTTTTTCCCCCTCTGAAAAAGAAAAATCTGACAAGGGCCATTTTTCAAGAAGAAAAGAAAGGGAGATTTCAAATGTTCAGGAAAGGCTCTTGCAAGCAACTTCCCACAGACTGGGAAACACTTATTCAAATGAAGGTAGGTTCTGCCTTTTGAGGAAGTCACTCATGGCACCTCTTCACTGCAAGCACCAGGTTCCAGGCTTTGCTCCTGATGAGCAGGTTCTCTGGGCTGTTACATATGGGTCGCTCTCTCCAGCCACTTCTCTCAGTATAGCGAACCGATTGATTGAAACCCACGCTGCTGATAACGGGCTGCGAGTGTGCGGCGGTGCTCAGCTAACTAGCACTCTTGGATGTAGTGTCGCCTTAGCCAAGCCACTGAGCGCCCTAGGAAGCTCCGGGCTGGGCCTGCAGGCATGGGCGCCGCGGGGACCAGAGCTCACAAGACCAAAGCTCACGTCTCATCCAGGCTTGCCGGACGGCCTGTGCATGTCTGTCCTTACCCTTCCGGATACGCGAGGTCACTCTTTAGAGCTCTCGTGCTGGGACACCTCCATAGGAGTATCCTGCTGTCCTGCTAGCCAGACCAGGTGACAGAGTGGACGGCTTCACGCGAGGGCGACAACCCCCGCTGGCAACTTTGGGCCAGAAGCTGAGGCTGCAAGCTTACCTAGGACACCAGCACCGAGCCGGTCTCCAGGTCACGGAAGCTAAAGGCAGCCTTGAAGGAACACTGAGCCCTGACACTTAAGAAAGGCTGGAACCGGTGGGACGGGCTGGGCAGGGGCGGATTCTGTACGTGTAACTAAGGGCTCAGGGAACAGAGCAAGGCGGAGCCAGTAAGTGAGGTCTGGGCTCAGATGGGGTTGGGGGCGTGGTCTGAGTTGGGTAAGAGCAGATTTCCGGAATGGGCGCTGGGCTGAATGTAAAGAAGCAGGACATAGAGAGTGGAGGCAGGCGCTTGGCTCTGGCCAAGGAGGACCGGGCGCTTTGAGCAGGGAAGGGCCTAAGGGTGTAGGGTACTGTGGCCGAGATCTTGGAACTGGGTTCACAGAACAGGCCCCAGGGAATTAGATGCAGAAGGTAGGGTGCTGGGCTTTGGCGCAGGAGGCAGAGAACATGGTGCTAGGCAGAGAGGGGAGGGCCCCGGGCGCAGAGGGTGCTGGGCTTGCTGGCGGGGTTCTAGGTGCAGGGGGCAGAGGGCAGGGAGCTTGGCCTCACTGAACCCAGGGCAATGGTTCAGTGAGGGAATGCTACATGGGAGATGAGGACTCTTATGGTTCCTTCTAGATCGGTTCAATGCTGGAGGACAGTTGCCTTGTGAGGGAAAAACACTTCTCTAGGCTGCCAGAGAAACCCAGAGAGAGTGAG